ACTAATGAATGCAAAATTATTGTTAAATTTCAAAAAAATATATCTAAGAGTCGTTGTTATTGCAAATCTTTAGTCAGGTAATCCGTCATCATTAAGACATATTTATTTAAAGCTAACCTTAGAACTTTATATTTAGAGCCTGATTATATAGAGAAAAGGGATATATGGTAAACTATCAAATGCGGAGGAAACAAAATGAAAACATCGAAATCTCCCTTTCCTTTATTTACATCAGCGCATGATATAGGCAAACATATGACTCTTGAATATATCACGTAAGCTTTGAGTATATGCTCTTTATAACCTAATTATATAAACGGCAAAAAATAATATAATGTAGTTATCTTAATCTGCAATTTTATAACTTAAGCTATAAATGACTAATTTCTATAGTTTAGCCTTAAGCACTTCGAAGATTTAGAAGAAGCATACTCTTAGTTGTCGTCTAATTAGCTAAAAAAATTAGCTATTTAAAAGTAATGGTTTGTAACAATCTTAACCTTTAACCATGTTCTTCTTAATCACGTTCGTCAAAAATGTGCTCAGTTAAACCTTTTCCCTAGTAATCAACAATGTAAACTCAAGTACTTCTGTACTATATAGTATTGTCATGTCTGAGATATTTCGTAGAGCATTTAACAAATTATTATGATATAAACCTAAGCAATCTAGAGTAATGAATTTTACAATATTTTATTTTAGACAGATAACTTTAAATTTTCTTTGAATATGTTTTAATAATAAAATTATTTTTCATTACTCCTAACCTATATACTTACTTTTTACTTATATCAGTTGTCTTGAGTTCATTTAATGTAAAAAAGATGCATCTAATTTAAGAGGACAAAATATTGACAATAAAATGGATTAATCGCAGCGAATCTCAACGATTAACTGTAATTCAATATAAGCAGTTTATGCATTGCAACTATAAAGAAAATGTGCCTAAATACAAATTGTATATAAGGTATGGATATTTGCATTACTCCCTTGTTTGAAAAAAAATTGTTTATATTTTTAGTAATTTACTAAAATACGCGCCGTTGTTTACATAACTAAATATATCTCTTTGAAGACATGTAGATATTTTTGTGCTATTTCTTTACCCTGAAATAAAGCTTTAATGAAAATATACCTTCATAATGTTTCGAATGACCTTTAACGAAATCTGCGAAAAAAGGACTACATAGGCTATTTAACAATTATACTGAAATTAAATGCTACTTACATCTCAGCTCAGCTGCATTAGACAATTTATATGCCTTTTTCATTTTACTTAGTTCTTATATCATATCACATTAAGGGTTAAGTGATAGCATGTAGTATTTTACATATCTTTCATAATGGAATCAAAAGTAATACTTTATAAATGGAAATAAAGAAACTAATGATTCTAGACATTATTGCAGTGCAGTAATCACTAAAATATTTTAAAGTGTAGTAATTATTTATAAACCGTAGTATCGGTTGTTATAATACATACTTGCAAAGTAAACTTGTGATAATACATAATTTAACTGATAAAGCGGTTTGCTGGTCTAACTTGACTTAGTGTTGAGCCGTTGATGAAATAATTATGAGCAAATGTGCTGGCCTTTATTTTAAATAATTTGGGAGTTATATATACGCCTAGTGCTAGTAAGCATAAGGGCTGTATTACTTCTAGAAAATAAAGTTAATTTTCTACCCTAAATTAGAGCACCAATTCTAATCTTGTAGTATAGATTACCACATGTCGTACATAAATTAGATTCGCAGTTGCTTTGAAGTTTGAGTTTCTTTGTGAAATCGGAATCACGTACAATAAATTAAGCTATTAAAGGCGTCAATATTTTCTATGAAGACATAATAGGGAAATTCTCGAATAGCAGATGCTCATGTAAAGAGTATTTCTTATTATAACTTAAGTCAGCAAATATTGAGACAGAGTCAATATGAGAATAGAACTTTACTATTGATTCGCTATAGTACTTACATATATTTTAGACCATCAGATTCCTGCATGCGCACAATAGAAAGCTAGCATAGTGTGGATGAATTCACAGCAAAAATCTATATTGTTATTGGTTTATCGTATATCTTCTGCCATATAAGATAATAGATGCTTTGTTCTATACTTCTGCCCTTTTCCCATAATTATCCAAGAAATTTCCTTTTTCTATATTTGATCGAAACAAGTAATTTAGTGAAGAAACTGAGTTATAATTAATAACAATTTTGAATGGTATACCAAAGTAAAAGCAGACTACATTGGATTTCAACTAAAATTAAAAAAATTATAAATAAAATATAATATAATGTCATTATAGGGGGGAATTCCATAAGTATTCGTCTTATGAAGCTCACTTTTTTTTTCCTTGTGATTTGCTTCCACAGGAAATCCATTATGACGCACTTTTACTAAGCCTCCTAATGATGCTAATACAGTAGCATTTGGCCTGCCCGATACACTAGTTTGGATTATTAAACTCGGCCCAATACCATCTTTATCAGACTCTTTGTTCTCTATCTTATCAATGATATTCTTATTTTCTAGCTCCGAGCTTTTTGCTTCAAGAAGTTCATGGCTTCCACCTGAATCAGTTATCTCAATAACTTGCTTCTCCTTTATGCTATTTGACCTCCTTTCTATATGGCCATCCATTTTTGATTTATATTCTTCCCATTTTGATTCATTATCGAGGGAGCCAACTGAGCCATCCACCAAGCCTGCTTCCACGGCGTGGCATATTTCAGCCTCCGTATTGATGCTTTCCTCGTTGGAGCCTAGATCCGATGCCAAACGTATAGGATAGTACAAGTGTTTTGGTGAGGGACCCAGTAGGTAAATCTGACGCTGGGAGGAAATCCTCCTACTATGTCCCTTTGAAGAAAGCTGTGGCCACGCACCTTCAGCACAGCGTAAGTTTAAATTGGTATGCCGAGCATGTGGTGGAGAGAAAAGTGCTGACTGTTGACTCTGCTGGTGTGTAACATTTAAATGGGAATTTTCATCATTCAGTTGGCCAATAACCGGCTGTTGTAAGGGTTCGCAAGAGACCTTGTGCTCATGCTCACGCCTGCCAATTACATTTATTAATTCCTCATTAGACTCCTTAT